GTTTTTCATGTTAATTTAACAGCTAGTTTTAAAAATCCTTTTAAATTAATCTTTAAAACATATGTAAGTACAGATGCATGTAGCTTAAAAACTGTGAGAGTCACTGCCTTGGGAGATTCTGAGGGCCACTGGGCACACACAGTGGTGTTTAAATCAGACTGAGGGAGTCCAACATGTGGCTTCCACATGAATTTTAAGGTGGGAGAAAGTGGGGGCCAGGGCTCTCTAAATGCCAAGTCTGCTGCCAGGAGATTCTCCTTTCTCTCTAGCAAGACAGGGAATACAGCACTTAATCCTCTGGGCTGTTAAACAGCTTGGATGAAATCCTGGCCCTGTGGAAGTCTGTGAGGAAAAGCTCCTGTTTAACTTCAGTAGGGAATGCAGCTAAGCTCTTGAGTTGCTACAGCCCTGCACTGGAGCTGCCTTTGGTACCTGCAGGCCATGCAGGACCCATGCCTATGTGCCCACCTGTCCCTCCACCCTCTTCTTAGCCTTGCCCGTTGCTGCTTTGCCTTGTCAGTGATGTCACTGGGCTGCTAAGGCAGCAGCTGCTCAGGGGTTGCCTGCTGGCTGTGGGATCATCGTGCTCCCTGGGGTACCTGGCAAAATGCTCAACACTGTGCTCAGCTACTGGGAGAAAATTCGATGGAGCAATCACCTCCTGCCACCAGTGCCTGGGTGGGTGGGAACCTCGGTGGCACCTGGGGCACCCAGTGTGGGTGGTGTGCCCCTGCAGCTGGTCAGCATGGTACTGCCTGGCTCAGTGGTCAACTTCTCTCTTATCATCTAAGCCACCATGCCCAATGTCTCAGCAGAATACAAATCCTGTTTCAATACAATCCTGTTTCAGCTGGGCTACAAATCCTGGCTGCCTGTGGTGGGAGAGGCCCTGGGCATACACTTGGTGTGGTTAAATCTGTGCTGGCTCCCTGCACGTGCCAGGGAAGGCATCTCTTAGCAGTTCTGAGGGGAGAAAAGAGACAGCACTACTGTTTTTTTCTTAGCCCAATGAATATATTGCTTTTCACCTAGCAATGGTGTATCACTTAGGTGGTGTATGACAGTCTAGGCACTGTGGAAATATTTGTATAGTTTTTTAACCTGAAGCCTGACATTTGGTTGTAGCTTATTTGGAGCCTTTTCCAGGGCCACTGGATGTTCCTGGCCCTTGAACTACAAGATCCCCTAACACTGAGCATGGGGAGGGAGGGCAGGGTGATAAACCAATTTTTATGGGAATGATATCCTGTGGTTCCCCTGTGAATCTTGGATATGCCCCCCCCCCCCCCCCAGCCACTCTGTGTGGGTGATAGTGCTCAGCTGACCTTCAGCTTCTCCTTGGTGCTCATTCAGTGGGGTAAAAGGAGGTTCCAAAATTATTCCTAGCACTACATTGGAAACCTTGTCAAATCTTGAGCCTTGGCAAGACCTTACTTAGCAACACTGAGCAGGTAAGAGCACTGGGAGGGAAAAGGCACATTGGCTCAGACAAACCAGGCAGGTTCTGGTGTCTCCTGCTAACTCTGCAAGGCAAAGATGATCTGAGGTGGCTGGAGATGGGGCAGCATCATGTTGTCCACCTTTGAGTCCCTTCCCAGCTGCTCCCTGTACCATCCTGCATGCAGAGATGCCCACAGCCAGTGTGTGCTGCAGGGGGCTGGGGGGGGCCTGGCATTGCACATATCTGACCCCGGGATGGAGGTGTATGAGGCATTTTATAGCCTCGTGCCACTGTTGCTTTGTGCTACTCTTTGAGCTGTTTCTCAGAGAAGTCTTTTTTGGCAACCTGTGGGTTTACACAGCAATTATGCTTCCCTGCCATAGCTGCTGTCTCTAAATTCATGTTTGTAATTCCTGGCCCAGGGAAAGCCAGAGGAAACCGTTTGCTGTCCCACCATGCACATGAACCTCAACACTGACCACGACCAGGCCAAGTAAAGCCCAGGCTCTCCCTGGGGCAGTGAGCCATGCTGGGAATTTATCATCTGCTATGGTGTGTCTCCATCTGGGTCACCAGAGGCTGGGAAAGACTCTCAGGGTGATAGCACCATGCTGTGTTGGGTAGAGTCATCCCCTTTACAGGCCTCTACAACCCTGTGCTTCAGCTCAGACTACAAGATGGAGAGAGAGCAGAGTAGAAGGAGGTGGGCTGATGTTGCCTTCTTTCTAGCTTTGGTTGTCTTCCCAGCCCGTTCCCTGCTCAGCTGTGGGAAGTTGTGGTTCCCACTGAAATGAAATGAGCAGCACGAGAGGTGTCTCTTTGCTGGTGCCAGAGTCCCCATGCAGTCCCCTGCCCAGGGCAGAACGTGTGTGTGTCTCTGTGTGTCTGTGTGTGAGGGTGGTGGGATAGGAGAAGCTGCTGAAAAGCCAGTGGACTCTTCTTGCTCTTTGGTAAGGCAGATCTGGTGTCAGAAGAAAATAGCAGGGAGAAAAAAATGCCAGGGTTACTGGGGAGGTGATGGTGAGAAGGGACAAATCCCATCCCAGATCTTGATGGAAGAGGTGCTGCTCCACAGCCTCCCTCTCCCTGCCTGACCCCGGGAAACCAGGAGCTGCCGCGTTCATGCTGGAAACACTCCACTTACGTTAACATATGTACTTTATATGCCTAGGGTAGCTAAAAGTGCTGCATTCAGATCCCCGAGGAGGCAACTGCTGTCTGGAGTCCGAGCGGATGGATGGATCGGCTGTCCCGTCGTGCTCTCTCCGAGTGTGGCGGGCGCTGGCCGCAGCCCTGTCATGTGGCCCAGGAGATAGCAGCGCTGTGCTCCTTCGCTTTCATCCTCAGGGCAGCGATGCTGGAGGTCTTGCGGTCCGGCTCGCTGTTCAGCTCGTAGCCGTTGAGGCTGGGGCTCATGCCAGC